AAAGAGGAGAGGCACCCGATATATGTTCTTTAGGCCTTTTAGAAAAATATGAAGTGGTTCATTTGGCAACATATATGTGAATCTACAAGTAAGGTGATATTGTAGACAGCATGGGAATGAGTACTGTTCAAAAAAGAAAAGCCCCACAAGTGTTACCATGGCAAAACTGGAAGAGTCTACAATGTGACCCAGCACGCTGCTGGCATTGTTGTGAACAAACAAGTTAAGGACAAGATTCTTGCCAAAAGAATTAATGTGTATATTGAGCATATTAAGCATTCTAAGAACAGAGATAACTTCCTAAAACTTGTGAAGGAAAATGACCAGAAAAAGAAGGATGAGAATTTTTCGCTATAGGGTGCATGTACTCGCCAGAAAGACAGAGAGAGACAGAAAGCGAGAAATCAATCCCCAGGGGGAGGGCCATGCCGCAATCCCTTCTCCTCCATCATCCTCTCGGGATCTTGGGCACGCACGCACACGTGCCCGACATGAGTTTTAAGCCACCGGGTCTGGGACTCGAACCATGGTTGACTACGTGGGAGTCCAGCGACATAGCCATTATGCTAACTGCTGGTCCCCCCAATTTTTTTTTTAAATAAACATATTCTATTGATAAAATGGCCATCTGCCTTAACCATTTTTGTTTGCAGATCTTGCTTATAAAGATGTGGATCATTAATTTCATGATGGTGCTAACTTTGTCACTTTATCCTAGGATATATTTCTTTTTCTTTTTTAGTTGCTACTAATTATATCCAGGGTTTCTTTAATATACTTCTTTTGAAGATATTAATCCTACTGAGACTGTTTACTTTCCATTACATTTTACTTTATTTGCTTCCCAAAAAAGTTATCCTTCGTGTATTTTATTATTGACACAAGATCTAACAGATATCAAGAACAGAAACATATTAGGGACATTTATACTTTTACCTAGTTGTTTAGTGATTTATCTAATACTTACTTTTAAAAAATATTTAATTTGAAGGACCAGCAGGTGGTGTAGTGGTTAAGGTACTGGACTCTTACATGGCCAACTGTGGTTTGAGTCCCAGACCTGATGGCTTCAAAATCACTCTGGGTGCATGTGCATGCATGCCCCAAAATCTGCAGGGTAGACTGAAGGAGAAAGGATTGGAGTGTAGCCATCCCCCCGGGGAGTGATTTCTCACTTTCTCTCTCTTTTCTCTCTCTTTCTTTGCCGCTCTCCAATGAGTGCATGTGCCATATGGCAAAAACCTTAAAAAATATTTAATTTTGGTTTTCATCCTTCTTTTTATATGTAATACATTTTAGTTAGTCACAGTATTAGGTTGGGTTCCCAACAGATCTTCAAGCAAGAATTTGGGTGTAAGTAGTTTATTTGGGAGAAGATTTAAGAAAGCATGGATAAGGAATGGCAGATAGTGAGGATGATAAAGTGAGTGTTGTCAAGCTTTCTGATGTAGGCAATTGTAGCTCTCTCCCACTAGGGAACTCTGGAGCCAGAGCAGTATTTTTCTGAGTTGTCTTATTTGGGGCACAATAAATTCTCCAATTCTCTTTTAACATTGGCTACATGACAGTCACCAGGCATTTCTGGCCTATTTGTGGTTCTAGGGAGAGCCCTCAGGTGGAGAGAGGCAGGTATTGCAGCAAGATGCCGTCCTCAGGAGCAGGGATTGGAAGTGCAGAGGAGGGGAGGGCCACTGAGTCACCTCTAAGGTCAACTTACACTCTTCAGAATGTATTTGACCATGCTTCGTAAGGCAGAATGAGCAGGTATTTTTTTCCTTAAGTTAATTTATTTCTTTCATGAGCAAGAGAGAGAGAAAGCGCACCCCAAAAGGATCCTGACTCTAGGATTTACCCCCAGCTTCAGACAGACTAAATTAAGGGCCAAGCATGTACCCGGTGTATCAGGGAGGTCTCTGGCCCTGAATCCACATTCTGTGGGATTGCCTCACAGAACATTGTGTTTCACAACTGCTCTGCCATTTGCCCCCAGGACACGTATATTTTGAACATTAAAAAATATTTAATTTCATAAGAATTGGAAAATTCTTTGCTGAGAACATGTATGTTGATGTGCTTGATTGAGCCAATGCACAGTGTATTTTGGATGGAAAATTCATTTGTGTGTTGTGATGGTGTATAGTGAATTAATGTAGAAAAAAAATGCAATTGTATTTATTTTTTAAAATATTTAATCACTGTACATCTTTAAAGCATACAGAATGAATTTTCCCAGCATGAATTCATTATATATTAGTCTAGTTGATTTTTTACAAGATTTATGTGTTGTGATGGTGTATAGTGAATTAATGTAGAAAAAAAATGCAATTGTATTTATTTTTTAAAATATTTAATCACTGTACATCTTTAAAGCATACAGAATGAATTTTCCCAGCATGAATTCATTATATATTAGTCTAGTTGATTTTTTAAAAGATTTATTTATTTAATTTGTTTTTATTTATTTATTTATTTATTTATTTATTTATTTATTTATTTATTTATTTATTTATTTATTTATTTATTTGAGAGGTTTTTCACTATAGGGTGCGTGCGCTCGCCAGACAGAGAGAGACAGGAGACAGAAAGCGAGAAATCACCCCCCATGGGGGATGGCCACACCGCAATCCCTTCTCCTCCATTCTCCTCTAGGGATTTTGGGCACGCATGCACACGCACCCGGCATGAGTTTAAGCCACTGGGTCCAGGACGCGAACCGCGGTCGACTACGCTGGAGTCCAGCAACATAGCCATTACACTAACTGCTGGTCCCTTATTATTTATTTTTTAATTTGACCAGAGAGAGACAGAGAGAGAGAGAGAAAGGGAAAGTGAGGAAGCAAGCCACCAAATCCAGGATTCGAACCATGGTCAGCTATGTGGGAGTCCAGTGTTTTAACCACCATGCTGCCTGCTGTCCCCCAGTTGATTTAAAAAAAATATTTTTAATTTACTATACTTAGCTTTCAACTATCTTAAATTAATGGAGAAAAAGAACTAAGTAGTTAACTCTGTAATATGCTATTTTTTTAAATTTTTCTTTATTGTTTTAAGTTTTTGCCATAGGAAGAAGAAAGAGAAAATGAGAAACCAACACCTGGAGGATGGCCATGCTGCAGTCCCCTTTCCTCTATTTCTTTCTTGGGAATTTGGGCATGCTTGCACACATGCCTGTCCTGATTTTCAAACTGTCAGGTTCGGGACTCGAACTGTGGTCAGCCATGTGGGAGTCCAGTGCCCTAACTACTATGTTACCTGCTGACCCCCATGCTATTATTAATATAAGTTTAAGAATGAAGTATAGAGAGACTCATCTATTTGTTTTAGCATTATGGAGATCATTTATGACCTACCATAGCAGGTTCCATAACTGGAGGGGGCAGAATTAAAAGTAGATTTGTTGCAGAGTAAATGAGTAAATGAGACGTGAGGAAATAGAGACACCACTGGAAGCACCTCTTCTTTAGGTCCTCTTTCGTTACCATACACTACCATACACTTACCATAACTCTTGGCTCATGACAAGCTTTCTTTGCTACTAGAACAGACAGAAATCAAGCTAGTACTTTGTCATTCTCAGTTTTTTGTTTGTTTGTTTTTTTAAGAGAGAGATTTTTGCAACAGGGCATGTGTGTTCACTGGAGAGACAGAAAGACAGAAACTGAGAAATCACTCAGTTTCTCATTCTCAGGTTGGATGGCCATGCTGTGGTTTCTTCTCCATTCTCCTCTTGGGATCTTGGGCACACACACACATGCGACTGGTGTGAGTTTCAAGCCACTGGGTCCTGAACTTGAATCGTGGTCGACTATGTGGGAGTCCGGTAATGCAACCACTATGCAATTTGTTGGTCCCAATGTTCTCAGGTTTTGACAACATTTATTGAAATATTATTTTATCTTCATATGAATATTGTGAGCATACTAACAGATTTAAATAGTAATGTTACAAAATCCATATACTTGCATAATTAATATTGGTTAGCAAGCCAGAGGTTTTCTATATGACATTTGATTTCTTAGAAGTGAAGGCATTTTTCTATCATCCCTTATAACTCTGTTTGAATGAGTCTTGATGCTTTCTTCATGTTTTCTATCACTGAAATAAAAGTAAATATTTATTATGCTATTAGTAAATGAGAGTATGAAATATTGCAATCCATTATCTCTAGAATTTGAAATTGGTGTACTTATTTAATTGCTTTGGAAACATAGGAATTCATCTATATTCATGATATTAAAGAATATTATGCTAGAGATATATTTGTGAATTTAGGGATTAGACAATTCAGAGCTGGTTAATCAACTTTCTTTGTGTTAAACAATTTTAACAAAGGGGTTTTGTGGAAATATCTTTTTTTTTTTTTGGAGAGGTTTTTGCTATAGGGCATGTATACTTATT